ATAGAAGATTGCAATGGACACATACTGAGCATTAAGCATATTCAGTATCCTACTTTTTCTTACAGATAAGCTGTTCTCAGTACTTTTTTGCAAAGCTAAGCAGTGGCACTGTATAGGTAATGATTATGGGCTATTCCAATGAATGCACAGAGATAATTTCATTTCTGTGAGTAGTGCCATTGACTACAATGGGACTATTTCCATGTGTAAAGTTAGCCTGGAGCGTAAGTGTGGGCGAGACTGAATTGTGGGAAAGATTGCCTCTCGCAAAAAGGCTCTCGGGTAACAGAAATATGAAAGCTCCACGTAGACCTTCTGTTCTGGAAGATCAGTTACGGATTGTCTTGAAAAGTGGGTGTGAAATCTACATATAATCCAGCATTGCAAAGCTAAAGAACTGGAAATGTAAGCGAAGAACCAGTTGTTAAGGTAATGCGTTCTCTTATAGTTATGAAAATCTTTCACCTGAGGCTTTCGAAGCACTTTGTGCTTAAGCAAGCGTTACATATTCTCTTAGAAAGGTACTGTTAAGGATCATCACATGGAGCAGTGAGGACATTATGAATGGCTGGTCAAGGATCATGCGATCAAATAATGAGCATTTGCGATTCCTAATGCTCTCCTTAACGATGAGGAATTATCTGTCCTAATGCTCAATATTGGCCGTAGGCCACAGGTTGGTCTCTGACCGTGGCCGTTGTACAGAAACTTTGTTGGCCAGTTTTATCTGCTACCTGGAAGAATGAGGAGGGTATGGCTATTCCTAGAAAATATGAGACTGCGCTGGGGAAAGAGGAGATACAGCCTGTTAATAACTGGACTTTGGGCTTTGCAAAGAGAAGCTCTTCAGGAGATTTGGAATAGGACACTGTCTTGCTCTTTTCAGTGGTCACTTACTCTTCTTCCCAAAATCAAGGTGCTCTTAGGCCTGGTCTGCAAACTCTCTTTTGCACTGCTGGTAGCACACATGAGCAGGATTTTCTTTGCCCAACTATTATAACCCTGGATGTGGACCCAGCCATACCAGCACAGCAGCACTCCCTATGTCAGTAGCTTACTCCATTCTGTGGACATGAATGAGGTGCACTTTTAAGCACTTCTGTGCTACTGTAACTGAATTTTCCTTTGGAAGACCATACTGCATAATGTCTAATCTCTCAATTTTATAAACCAGTGGTGAAGAATTTTAAACACTAATATAATGATGAGAAGTTTCCGAGATGTGGGAAAATTTTAAGACGTTTATGGCTGTGCTGGAGGGAGGCAGTTTATTGCTGTGTTTCCGAATGAGAAGTGAGTTGCTCAAAGACTATACTAAGCATGGTATAAAACCAATGAAGAACTAAAGGGAACCTGCCTCAGCTGCTCTTGATGGATCGCCTTTTCCTTACACTCCACTATAGGAGCTTGTACTGGAGTATCCTGGAGCCGGTCTTGCTCTGCCCATGACCAGGCTACAGGGACTAGCTTTTACCCCACATCCAAATCAGCGAAGGGAAGGAAATCTGTGAAGATTCCCTCTGCGAAAGGAAAAAGCAGGAGTTATTTTTCCTTTAAAATCCATGTGGGGCCAGTGTGGGGAGACATCAGCTTGCAAACGTATTTGTAAAGCCTCTCGGGCCTTGCATAGAGGACTTTGTTGGGTTAGCTGAATCAGCAAACGTTCTTTGCATCGATGCACGTTGCAGTTAAACAAAAGATTTTTGCCTGCTGTCAGTCCCTGGACAAAATCCCCTGCAACAGCATGCTGATTTTTTCACACTTGGGCACTTATGTCAGAGGCACGTCGCTCTGAGGAATGGAGGTCTTCCGTAGAGGAGAACTTGGACCTCTGCTGGCACACCGTTAATGTGTCCACCTGGCTTCTGCATGAGAGGGAGAGGAGACGCTCCAAAGAGCCGAGGCTTATGGCGCCCAGCGCCGGCTGTCTGCCCACCCTGTGGGGCAGGCTCAGTCTGCAGGCTCTGAATAATGCAGACAGCTCTTTTTTGGTACTCTCCTCTAAGCAAAACTCAGAAATGGCCTGTCCCACATGCCACTAGGTGGCACTTTAGGGACATGGCAGTCACTTGGTTTTATTCATTATGCATGAGCTGCATCACCAGAACTAGGGGGTTTTGTTTTTCTTTCTTTCTTTCTTTCTTTTTTTGGCCAAGTGTAACTATTTATTTATTTTTACCACCTGCCTGCCCCAGCCAGTCCTTGCCCTGCTGGCTGCTGAGCTTTGCCGTCCTCACATCCTGGCAGCGGGGAGGAGCGGCCAGCCCAATGGCCCAACCTCAGCCAGCGGGTAGGTACCACAGCCCTGCAGCACAGCGGTTGCCACAGCTGTTAGGCTGACAGCCACATCACAGCACTCGGCTAGTAAAAAAATGTATCTTGCATCAGTAGGAGCTGTGATACCCAACTGTTGGAAATTTTGAAATCTTACACTTTCTGGCATCAGCACTCCAATTTATATTCGCTTCCACAAGAACACAAAGTTTACCCTTTTCTGCCTTTTCAGTTCCCTTCAGTTTAAAATAGTATTCTCCTGCAATGAGACCATTAAAAAAAAAAGGGGTGGTGGTGGTGGTGTTTCTTTTTTACCTCCCACCCTCCCTCCAGGTCTTTTATTTTACCGTGTTTTCAATTTTCCTGCTTCTTTGCAATTGACATTGTATAGTACCAGTCTATTTAGTTACTTCTACGCTGTTTGAACACATTGGTTCTTGAAAAGCTGCATTTCATCTACACATAAATAACATGGGGTTGGTCTCCTTTCTTTTTCATTCTGTGGAATAAGTTACTGTATTCTTGCTTTTGATACAAGGTTTAACGTAGACTCCAACAAAAATGTGAGCACCAGAAACTGCCTGCCTGGCCAGGTTAGGGGGGTATCTAGTGCTCCCTGTCCAAGAAGGGCCATTAAGAGCTGGCTCTCGTCTACCTCTGTCATTGCTCGGTGGTGTGCAGCAAAGCTCTAGTTTATAGTGTGCGTATTACGTGGCTCTCTGAAAGACTGTGTTTACTCTTGCTGTCCCTGAATGAATGATTTGTCAAAGAGATGTGATTCAGTCCCAAATTTATCGTGTGGCTCCACTGGGTATTTGAACTTTGCTATTCCCAAATCATTCATGAAGGCCTCATGGACTTTGCCAGGGTACTGTTACGAGTGCTTAGAGCCTTCATTTCTTTCAAATACATAAAAAGTGGTTGTAGAAATCATGGAGGTTAGGGGCTATTCAGCTTGCTGATAAAGAATGCTCTGTTGCATTAAACGCACTTCTAAAGGTCTTCGATTTTTGCAGACAGAAAAGAAGATTTTCCATTTCACTCCCTATTTGTACCAGAAATCTGTTATAGAAGCAGCTCTTCAATCCATGAAAAGCTTTCCAGAATTGAAATGTTAGTATCAGGTAGTTATTAAAATCCAAATATTTAAGATATTAATATCCAAATAATACTGGAAAACTACAGAGCGGGTTTGTTTTGTTTTTGTTTTTTAACCATCAGATAACACTACAGGTGTAGCACACTTAGAAGAAGCAGGGAGAGAAATCTTGTCAGCCAAGACACCTTTTCCTCCTCTCCAGAGGAATTTCACATGCATTTTAAAAAAAGATGATAAATCTCCCTCCTCTGTGCACATGTTCGACACCGTACGGTTGGAGAACAGCAGTAACCTGACAGAAGCGCATTTGCCCTACAGCTTTCTGTACAGCTCTTATTGTGTGTGCTATGAAAGAAATGGAAGCGGTACGAAAAAGTTCCTCCTTTTTAAATATACCAAATTCTGTGCTTTCTGTCATTTTTATTTAACTTACAGTTAAGCACTGGGAAACTTGTGACTGCTACAGAGCTTGATGGGCCTATGCAGAAACCTATTGGCAGCAGCGAATTAGGTTCTTCAGTGCGTGACAGGTTATTATTATTAATTTTTATGGCTAAAATCCTGGCCCCTTTAAAGTTTGAGGTTTGCCTTGAACTTGGTTTTAAATGCAAGCTTTCACCTGTGTAGAAACAAGCCTCTTTTGAGGACGGAGCCGGATGGCGGGTTGCCTCTCCTGCCTAGGGGCCGTTGTCAGCCTGGCTCTGACTTGGCAGAAGTTGGGAAAGAGAAGAGGCCGCTGCCAGAGCCAAGTGCCCTCAGCCTCCCCGCTCCTGCCTGCCTTCCCTGTCTTGGAGAGCCAGCCCATACCTTCTGGACAGAAAACAGCCGCACCGTGTTTATACCATGTTTGCTGCAGCATGCACAGGGACAGGCAGCTCCAAATCCTGCCGCCCTCCCTTCGCTGATGTGCTGTGCCCTGTCCTGGTGAATGGAAAGATGCTGGAAGATTTCAGGAGAGGCGAAGCAAGGGATTAACCCTCTGTTTTAACTTGCTGCTAGGTCAGATATGCTGGGGGGAGGGTGTGTTGTTTTGCCGAAGTGTAGACCTGTGTGATGAGTGTTCAGCTCAGTTTCTGTTGGAAATGTGAGAAGGGAGGAGGGAAGAAGATTTATTTGGCTTCTTTTATGGTTTGTGTTTTCAGTAACTTTACTGGAATTTTTGGTATAATTCAGACTTTCTTGCTCCAGCCTTGCAAACTTCAAAGACAGAGGCTTACTCCAATGAATTTTCATCAGCATCAGGAGATGATAAGGTGACAGGGCGCAACCAAGATCTTTGTAGCTTTTATCCAACCCCCTTAGTCTTGCTCTGAGTATTTAGGCCGTAAGGGAAACTCTAGAAGGTCTGGGTACTAGGTCATTTACATTCAGAGACATGGTTCCTAACGCTTCACAGAAAAACTTTTCTCTTGTTTTCCTAGCACAATAAAATGCAAGAAAACGGTTTCATTAAGAATCTGCAAAAGATGTGTCATCCATTCAGCTGTCACCCTGGATCTCTATTTCCCCTACTGTTGAATTGTTAAAGTAACTTTTCTTTTCTGTATAACGTTTTCTTTCGTTGACTTTATTGTATGTGACTGCTAGTCGTTTTCTGGGTATAGCAATGACTGATTTGTTGTTGCAGACAGAGCAAGTATCTGAGGTTGAATTACATCCTCAGATGAATAGACCCCCATCGCAGGCAGAAGAAAACAGTTCAGCAAAAAAGGTGAGACCTGCACTTGTACCATTGTGGAGTGATTTGCCTTCATCAACAAATGTGGTTGGTTTAAGTTTTAAAGCAATTAAATGGAGGGTTAGGGTTACGTTTTCACATGTTTACCTTCTCTGGAGGTCAAGACGCTAGAGAGAACCGGGATCACGTGTGACATCAGCTCAGATAAATCATTAAAAAAGCTCTTAGTACATACACAACGATGCACGTGCTTTAAGAGAGGCAGCTTGCCATTTGTTTCAAATCAGTAGGGGCTTGTGGAGCCTTAGGGAAGACGAAAAAGAGTTTGATTGTACTTGACCCCTGTCTCTCTATAATTCTTCCAAATTGTGATGCACTTCTTGCTTCCAGTTATTGAGGATTTGGTTTTGATGTAACCACACCTGTTTGCTAGAGGTCAGAATCTGCTACTAAATGCACATAGACTGGGAGAGATTTGCTCAAGATATGCAGTTTCTAATATGTTTTTGTATGAACATATCATTTGTATAACGCAAGCACCGAAATTGCAATGGCAGTCCTCACAGGGCCTTGCTTAGGGATGGAGCGGCCTTAGCAATGGCTGTGAGCCTTTCTCCACTCCTGGTCACGCTCCCACCGCCTCCTTCCACCAGCCTCAGCCAGAAGGGGTTTTTGATAGGGGGCAAATGCAGATCCTTCCTGCTCCAGCCCCTCCTGCAGCCAGGGAGCACCTACAAGACCTTTGCTCAGCCCAACCAAGAACTGTTGGCAGGTGCTGTACCTAGTGCGTACCTTGCCCAGGGAGCATCACCACACTTCTTACCTTAATGGGGGCACAGACAAATGTCCGGTGTCATTTCCTGTATGCAATAAGGCTTTCGGGGCAGCGTCCTTGCTCCACTTGTGCTCACTGCATGCTGCTACTAGCCTAGCCCTGCTTCTTCCTCGCTCTGCTTTGCAGCCCTCCTGGGGAAATGAAATCCTTGTGGTCCACCTACTTCATGCTGGCTCCCTAAAATACAGAGAAGCCCAGGCTGTGGGGTGTGGGAAGCAGGTTGTTGGTGCAGCGCTGACCCACCTTCCTGGTGGGTGCTTGCGTGGTGCAACAGCAGCCAGCCAAAAAGCCCCTGCAGAGGGCTCTGCTTTTAGGTATTGGATCATTTCTTCCAGTATTGCGTTTGAAATGGAAGAGGGATTTATCTTATGGATTTGGTAGGTTTTTCGCAGTTCAGGGTAGACTGGGATTGTGCATTTGGCATCCCACTAGTTTTATAGTTGTAGAAGGCACACGCAAGTTCCTCACTTGCTGTACATCGTGCGTTTGCAGGGAGCTGCGCATAGGCATAGGATTTCAGAGCACAGTATTGTCTGAGATCTGTGCAGCGCTGATGTGCTGACGTCCTGATCAAAACATCTCATAATATTTTTAGATATTTTTTTTTCAGTAATGGCCAAACTTTTTTAATGTTGAAACCCCTTGTTTCCTTATAATTCTAATTCCTCTAATAATTGTAATCTCCTAAGATTAATTATTGATGGTCTTATGTTGGTTTCATTCTGTATCACTCATAGTAGACTCTTCTGCTGAGTCAGGCTGCTTGCTGCAGTCTTGGGTTTTTTTCTTATGATTGCTAGGTCATTAAATGCTTCCTCATTTAATTTTTTTCTTATTTTATTAACATTTGGCCAAAACATAGTAAGGAAGATAGTCTGTCCCAGTAAAATGTGCACTGTGCAAGTGATAATAAAATTTGGTCTTTGGTCTTGACTGTGACACTAAATGTATAACCTTTTTCAAGTCACTTCATCTTTTTGAGTCTTAGCTTTCTCATTCATGAAATGGGGCAGTAATAGTTATATCCCTTGTAAAAGAGATCTAATAATAAAATAACACTGAAAAGGATATATTTATAGTTCAGATTTAAAATGGCTATAAGGCATTAAAAGTACTTATCATTGCAAAAGAAAGGATGTCTTAATTTAAAATAATGAAAACACTTCTTACCACTGAAGTCACAAAAATCCAAGGCTCTTTGTTTTAACCAGACTGTTTCTTTGATGTAGCTCATCAAGAGAAATAACTAGCCTTCTACACTTCCGACATGTTAATTTTGCATGGATGTTTTTATACATTTGTCTTTCTAAGCTATTTTCAGTGTTGCTTCATGTAGGAGAGGAGGGGAGAAGGGAGAGGCTCCATGACAGATGGGTGAGGTAGTAAGTTGGGATGCAAGTGATTGATTATTGATTCTTACCAACTGAGCATAATTAAAAATAAATCTTGGTTTGGTTTTAATGCTTTAGGGTCAACTGGGGGCTAGTATATGTATTTATACCCCTCCCTCCGCCCCCCGCCCAAATGCACACAGAGCTATACAATCCAGTTCTGAAGAGCCTGTCATCCAGATGAAGACAAAACACCAGTATAATCATTTCATTCATTAAGGGGTTGCAGGAGTAGTTGTTCCTTTTTTCAAAGGCAGAAACCTGAGAGGCTATTACCAAATTTGAATTAAGCTCTGTACCTCTTTAAATTATGAAATCTTAGGCCAGCTGTCAGCAATTTCTGTGTCACAGCTATTCCCCAGCCTAATGACAGGACGCATATGGCCTGACTTAACGTTGCTGTGCTTCTCCCTTGCAGGAGGTTGTTCTCGCTCAGCCGCCCTCCAAACCCGCCCGCAGGAAACTCCGGACGGAGGCGCAGGGGCTGGAGACCCCCGAGCTTTCTCCCACTATAAATGTGACTTCTTCCCTGCCGGCCGTCAAGCCTCACCTCCCAGTCCAAAAGTAAAAACCTGTACCAAGCATGCCAAACTGCATGAGATCTGATGTGGCAGGGTTTGCTCTTTGCGTAATTTTGTGCTTAATAGTTCTGGTTTTGAGAATGCTTCACAACATACAAGTCTCTGAAATCTACATCTGTCTTCTCAAATGCAGACTAAGTCTCTAGTGACTGTATAAGTTGGTGATATTTGAATGATAGGCTCTTCTTCAAAGGTGTGCTACCTCTGTACCTGGTAGACATGTCTGAAGAGCAAGCCTAGCTCTTCAACCAGCATCTCTAACACAACTCCTTTTAGCTCTGTGGGTGTGTGGTTTGCCTGGCATATATTTTCTGGAATTTTGCTCATTCGTGTGGACAGATACGACCAGATAAATGCCCAGGAAATTGAGTCATGAAATGCTTGATGTTGGTCATATCCTTGTGATATTCTTCATCGCAAGGCAGGTTGGAAATGAACTCGCCACTGGTATGAGCTGAGCCATAGACCGCTTGTGATAATCCCATAATTGCCAAACCCAGCATGTGTTGTTTGGTCTCATAAATATAGCTGTTGAAACTGTCAGCAACAAAGACTTGTAGGGTTTTCACCATATATTTATTTAATAGCAGTGGAGAAAGGGCTGTACAAATAGTAAGCGAAGGCACTTGAAGCCCTATAGGGTCCATACATCTCCATCAGCTGAAACAGTGTGCAAACGTGATAGCCCGCCTTCACCTGAAGCCTTGCAAAGACATCTGGTTTGGTCTGAAACAAAACTGAGCTGCCCAAATCAGTTGAGCGGTTCTTGGCAAACTGTTTATCAGTAAACTGAATCTGTGCTGCATAATTGGAGATTAGAATAAGTAATAAGACTCCTAGGATGCCCTTAAAGTGCTATTTTGTGCTTTGGGGGTGCATATTCCACAGTGGTTCAAAGGAAGATAACAGCATTTGTTAGCATCTTGGCTTAATCCTGTCTTGTCTATATCTTTCCTAAAATGTTTAAATGACCACAGAGGTGTATCTCCCTGTTTTTTATTTTTTCCTACCATTATTACTTTATAGCCTGTGGAGAACGGTTTGAAGCAAAATCGTGAAGCAGAAAACTGACAGTTCACTGGAAGATGGCAGCATAAAGACCTGCCTGTGCTGCGAAAGAGATCCTGTTGCAAAGATCAGTGCCGTCAGCTCTGTTAAGAGAAAAGAGCTAATCGGGACTGTGTACCACTATGGACCTTATTTAAACAGGGCATCTGTTTTAGATCAAATTTGTCATTAAAGAGCTCTTGATGCCTCATGTAAAACTTTCAAATAATCTATTTGGAAAATGGCTTGGATATTCAGCCAGTATTTTCTGTATTTTCTTTTATTTTTCCTGTTGTTACTTGTGTTTCTTGGAATAGGTTGGTCCTTACGTACAGAGCTGTCTCTTTTTGTACCTGTCTGCCTAACTGTAATTTCCTCCAAATCAGTTACCCTGGAATATAGAGTAATAATAATAATAGGAGAGAAATCTTTTCTTTAAGCTGCAAAAGAGATGAGGAAAGTCCATAAGCCATCTACCTGTTCCTTTTTGTGACATCAGATGGTTTTGATGGAAATGACTGCTTTGAATGAAAGAAAGATTAATTTTTGAAGTAAAGAAACATCAGAATCAGCAGTGTCCCAAAAAATCTGAGACCGTATTTTCATGCAGATGTCCTTTCTTTCCGCGTAGAATGATTTTTGTATTTTCTCTTAACGACTCCTGAATCTTCAAACGCTGCAAGTCTCTGAAAACAGCTAAAGCAAAGATGCTGCAATAAGTACAGCTATGCAGGGATTATTCTTAAGCGGAATCAGAACGCAGTGATTTTGAAATAATTGAGACAGCCTAAAATGTTTCTGTCATTCAGATTAACAAGTGTGACCGTTTTACTTTCAAATAGTCTACCTGATTCAGCCATCTCATTTCAGTGTTACATTTTTCTTCTCTTAAATGTGTAGTTCATACCTTGTCTTTGAAGTGTAGTCCATTGTATATGGAGTACAAACGCGCAAAATGGATGGCTGGTCTTCTGGCATCAGCCACTGCTGAGGCTCTTAATTGAAATGTTTTCTATTTATCTGTCTGGCAGACAGTCTTCCAAGCAGAAAAGGGCTATTCAGACCGCTATACGAAAAAACAAAGAAGCCAACGCTGTGCTCGCCAGGTTGAACAGTGAGCTCCAGCAGCAGCTGAAGGTAAGGAATGCATTGAAAATCGGTGACAAAGCTCCCTGCTATCAGTTACGTGTCACCTCCAGCAGAGAATCTTGTTCGTCCTCTCAGATGAAACCTACTGCGTTATTTCCTGCTTTCTTGGAGGGAATAACTGTACTGTATGTGTGGATAGGATGAGGCTTTCTGGGAAAAGTTCTAACCTATGGGCCTACAGCTCCACTGGCAGTTAAAGTCTAAAGGGTGAACTTTGTCTTTCTGAACAGTTTGATAATGTGATGGCATCAACTAGTGCAGAAGAGGAACTCAAGCATAGCTTTCTTGTCCTCTGATCAGTTGTGCTACATAACTGTCTCCTGGAGTCAGGCATTTGGTATACATGGACTGGCTAAACCATGCTTTACGTGAACTTCTAACACTGATTTTTAATGTCTGCTGACTTGTCTTTTAACATGTTCTCAAGGGGCTGTTTTCTTATAAATACCAGTTGTGGTGGTTCTGTTTTCTCAGTCCAAAGGTAATACAGACTTCAGTTTTTCATCTGCTACACCTTTTTCTTCCTTGCATATTATGAACACACTTGCATGGAAAGGGAGGTGAACCCCCAGTTTCACCTTGACTGACAAAAAAGTGTAAGTTTGATTCCGTGTTCAACTTGGTTTTAATGTAATTTCTTAACTGGCTTTCAAGGATCTCCCCAGACTGATGCAGGGTGGATGCTCCGTACTGAAATCATAGCAAAATATAGGACGGCGATTGAAATAAGCACGGAGATGAAAGCTTTTAATGACAGCACATTGCCATCATTCCTTGGCTCAGGTCTTATCTGTTTCCATGCGCTATCTTCAGCACGCTTAAACTCCCCGACCTTCATGAAAACAGGCCAGTGCTGTTACCTGTATCTTATGGTAGGGTGAAGGAAGCACATAAAGACGGACAGATTTGCCTGAGTTCACACAGGAGCAGAAAACTGAACTTGTCCTTTAAGTCGTATTGCTGCCTGGAAGCTTTCTGATGGAGCAGGGCCTTTTATGTTTTTATGGGGACCAGAAGACTCGACGGGTGCCCCTCAGGCACAGCTCGCACTGAGACGCGGGGAGCGTTCAAGTGCACTCCCAGGCTGGGGCTGTGAGCGTGCCCAAATGGGGTACCGAAGCCTGGAGGAGTCACAAGTCAGCCTGGCTCCCACACAGGCCGGGGAGCCCTTTGACGGGAGGTCAGCAAGAGCCAGGTGCCCCTCAGCGCAGGGGCAGCCTCGAGACCAGGAGAGGCTTTCCCAAAATCACTGATCCCCAAAGCTGTCATGGTTAGTTTCTGACCGAGACTGATGATCTTCCTGACGCATCTGCCAAAGAGGTAGATTGCAAAGCCTGTGTTGTCTTAGAAAGACTAAGCCTCATTCGTTTCCAAAAGGAAAGAGGTTGGCTGTGTGAACCAAAAATTCTCAAAAAGCAGTTCTGAGGGAAATGTGATTTCAAAATAACCTCATTTTCTTTGGTAAAATTGCCAACCTGTGGCCAGCGTTGCTGCATCCCAAGCTATTCCACTGGCCAGTGGATGACTGCTCCTCTCCATGATCACCCGAGCAAGTGATTGAGCCTCCGCATTGCCCTGCTGTAAGGGAGGCAGTAGACGGCTGTGCGAGGTGGTTGTGTCGCACTGGTACAGTGTTTTGAGACCGCAAGGAGAGCTACTTAAACAGCAGAGCCCCTAGCCTCCAGTCAATGCCAGAGGTTTGCCTGGCTGCTCTTCACTGGAGCGGGGTGGTGCAAGCAAGCATCCCAAAAGTCACAGCACGTCTCTCTCCCTCCTGCAGGAGGTTCACAAGGAACGAATTGCCTTGGAAACGCAGCTGGAGCAGCTACGTCCTGTCACCGTCTTGTGAGACCTCCCGCACCACCGTGCAGTGGCAAGAGCGGAGCACGCGTCCTGACGGCCTTGCAAGGAGAGGAGCGTGGCGTGGCTGGGCAGAGCTTCTGCCGAGGCGGTGGCGGTGGGGAGGACCAGCTTGTCAGGTCTCCTTTCACCCCGCTGCGCACGTTTGCCTTTGCAGGTGAAGAAGGTACAGAAAACAAATATCTGACTGCCGGTTATTTCTGAGCGGGGGATTGCTTCGCCTTCTTTCCTCCCTTTTCCCAGCCTAATGTGTAAATGCAGTTTATCACTGAAATGAATAACCCGAGAGTATTTTATTTATGTAAAGAATTCCTGATTTATACGCATTCTGGCAGCACCTCCTGCCCCAATCACTAAGAGGTACAGCATTCCTGAATTCTTGCTTAAACTTAAAACTCATCCTCTGAGATGGGCTTCTGGATGTTACTGATTCCGGTAGGATTGTATCATGGTAGAGTACCTGTGGGTTTAATGTACTACAGGAATAAAACTCACTAGACGTACAGAGTCTTTATCCGCAATCATATGTCAGATAATTATTTTCTTAGCACTGTTTATTATGCAATCACGGATGTATTTTAATGTTAGAGAACTTGTATTTTATAAGTTCAAATCATATGAGAGAACAGTAAAAAAAAGTGTAATTATTTTGGAAATTACAAAAAAACCCAACCCTGTTTTTTGAGCTGTAACTGTTTCCTATCACCAGTGTTTGATCACTTGCTTGCAACTGCCAGTGTCTCTGCATCCTTTTAGCATGTTTGAGATCACCGGTTTATAGCTTTTTTTTTTTCTTTCTTTCTTTCTTACCAACAGTGTGTTTCTAACAAGATTAAAAATGCATTCTGGGCATTTTTATAAAAGCTGTTCTACGTACACTTGTATTAGTCTGCTTTGTTGTCTTAATAGCTGCTGATTTGTTTTAAGGATGTGTACAAGAACTGTATTTCCAAAAGAAGAAAGATAGCAAAAGTGCTATATATGAGGTTATAAAATGTGTGATGGAAATAATTGCCCTCTACAACAGGCTTCCGTTAAGGTTCCTTTGCACCTCACTGGAGATGCTACTGATAGGATGAAGCTGCTAATGCTCATCTATTTTCTAAATGAAGAAGCAAAGATTAATTTTTTTACCTGGGTGTGATCCAGGGCCAACTGAATTCTGCTAGAATTTTTTCCATGGATGCAGTGGTGAGTGGCTTCGGTCTCAGTTCTCTCAATGGAAGCTGGCTAACTAATGTTGCTTTATTTCTTGGGCCAATACTCTTGTATTGGGCGACTTCAACCATAACAATGTCAGCCCTGCTCCTTGCATGGATATGACGTGTGCTTCACTGCAAGGGAATGTCACCTACCTGTTGCCCATCTTAAACGTGACGCTGCACGTGTTTCATATCCTGTTGTTCACTGACCTAATTTAAGTGTACGCGTTCGCCTTGCAGAAAAGGTGCAGCAGTTTTTCACCGTTGTTGGTGTGATGCTTTCTCCCTGTAGCTATAGGATGGCCCTAGGGCTGAGAGGAAGAAGCAGCAGGTTTGAAGCAGCTGGGGTAGCCTCCCGTCAGGGTGTATCGTGCAGTGGCTGCGGTGGGGTATCAGAGGACACCAGAGCAGCCAAACGCTTTGTTGAGAGAGAAGACAGACATCAATGGGAATGTTTGAAGTGATGAGGAAACAGTTGCTTTTGCTGAAAGGGATATGGATGTGGGACATGGATCCAGAAGCCTGGAGGTGAAAATAAGCAATTGCAGAATTGTTACTGAAAATCTGTTTTTGTAACCCGTTGGTTTCAATTCAGCTAAACATCACTATGTCAACAATCAACAACCGTTTCTCTGGATTTGGTGGTGCTTTTGTGCGGCTGTTGCATAGCTGGGGTCAGACGGCCATTCCCGGTCAGTGACAAAATGCGAGAACTGCAAACTTTTCCGGGAAGCTGCAGAACAGCTGCTGCCCTCTTGCTAGTAGTGGTATTCTTCAGAAGTTGTCATCGCTTATTTCATATGCTCATAACACTGAGTCATTCCTGAGATTTTAATGAGGTGAAGCGCTCATTCTTTGTTTCCTTTTTAGTTCTTACATTGGCATTTGGTTAGTAAGCCCCTACTTTTCGATAGGAAATAATCATATGGCACGCTTGTTTTTTATTTTATGGGTGATTTTTTTAAGGAAAGCTTTTCAATGGTTACAAAGAAATGTGCACACTGCATCTTTAAGGCAGTGGAGGACTTTTTCATGTTTGATAGGAGCTTCCTCTAGAATAATCCCCCATTTATTTCACTTGGGTTATTAATGGAATAGATGCTGTTCAAAGGAAGGTGAAAAGTCTGCTTTATATGTCTTTTTCAAATGTCTCCCTTTAACATACAGGGGTTTTTTTTCATTAACTGGAAATTAGGATACTTAGCCAACAACGAGATACTTACTCAGTTGTTACTCTGCCACAGGACTTAATACATTTAAAAATCTAACCATCCTTGCATTTTTAGGGATGCAATCAAATACCCCACTCAGCTTCAAGACGTAGAGTGTGAATTGTTTTGTATTCTGTTTGGTGAAATGTTGGCTATGATGATGATACACTACTTCATGGAGAGAGTAAAGTGACGTATTCAAGGAGAAATGTCGGTGTGTTATACATACGATGCAGGAAGTTATTCTTCTGTATGTCTCAGTACTTAAGCATTTGTGATAGCCCATGAAAATGAAAAAGTGTCTCTGGTTTTGGGGGGCTGTTAGCATTTTGAGAGGGAGAGGAGGCGGCCTCATGAAGCTCTAGGCAGTGCTTCTGGCAGCTGCTCCATGCAGCCACGCTCACAGCTACTATTAACAGACCCTGGCTGGTCAAAATTCACATCTAAATCCAGTACCACAGATTTTCTCAAAAACTATTTTTCCTTTGGAAAAATGTGGGTATAGCGAAATCATCATTTCTTGCAGAAACCTTTAATTTCTGAAACTTTGGATGGAAGATGCTCCTAGACCCCAGACAGACCATCTGGTCAGAAAGGGAGACCTCACAAGCAGTTTGCTCCATGTTCAGGGCACTTTCTTGAGGTACAGGAGAGCGATCAACTTTAAGCCCCTGATGTGCCTGACCCAGGACAGCAACTAGGACCTGCCTGTCCCAGCTTATGGCCCGATCAAGGAGCAAGAGCAGCTTCCCACGCGTGAGGTCTCACTCTCCTCAGTTCGCCGTTTTTGTAGGTATTTGTGCAGAGCAGAACATGCCCAGCAAGAGAGGATAACTAGGAACAGGAGCTGGAGCACGGCTTCCTAGCATCTGAGAAGATGCGCAGACCATGAACCTGGCGCCCCTTTCTAAGTCTTCAATTTCATGCGGCTATTCTGGTTTGGACAATTTAATATTTTTGTCTGCAGGACAAGACTAGGCAGATGAGGATCTTCCTCAGTGTGTGTGTAAGTGTGCGCTCACGTGTCTTCCTTTTGATCATGCATTTCTTTATGGGTCTGTTAATGTTCCTATCACCTGATACCTTTCTATGAAATATTTGTTTCAATACATGGTAATTCAGTGGTGACAAAAGAAAAATGCCCAGCTAAGTGTAGTGACTGATTGCCTTTGTAGATCAAGCCATTTTTATTTGAGCCTTCAAATATAATTAATGAACTGCTAATTAAGCAAGGTGTACTGTTTCCATTTGAGAGGCATCCCTTTAAACAAACTGCTTGTGAACAAACATTAATCCTTTATGATCAATGTCCTTCTCCTAGTTATTAAATTTATACTAAGATGCAGTGGAAACATTACCACCTCTTTCAGACAGTTCTCAGTTCTCTCTTCCAGAGAGTTTTGCTGACAGAGCAAAAATGTCAGTGATTAGTGGATTCAGCCCTTTTATTGATAAGTTGGTGAATATCCTTTTTAACTCAAAAGATTATCTCCAAACTGTTTTTATGTCTGTGGCAGTAGTTTTGCTGGTGGGAATTCTGTATCCACACTGGGGAGAGGAACTTGTTCAGCTATCATCCAGACAGTCCCAGCTTAGAATCATAGAATCGTTTACGTTGGAAAGGACCTTCAGGATGATCAAGTGCAACCGTTAACCTAGCACGGCCAAGTCCAGCACTAAACCATGTCCCTAAGCATCACATCTGCACGTCTGTTAAATACCTCCAGGGATGGGGACTCAACCACTTCCCTGGGCAGCCTGTTTTGATGCTCGACAACCCTGTCGGTGAATAAATTTTTCCTAATATCCAATCTAAGCCTCCCCTGATGCAGCTTGAGGCCATTTCCTCTCGTCCTATC